GGGGGGGGGGGGGGGGGGGGGGGGGGGGGGGGGGGGGGGGGGGGGAGAGGTGACCCCGCAGGATAGGCAGACTTGGTTGTGGCGCTTTGCATCCGGCTGCGACTGATGCCGTTCCATTGGCCAGTCGATAGCGCCATCCACGCCAATTGTTCACAAAGGACAAAGCACACAATCTGATCTCCAGCGTGGCAACATCTTTCACACCAAAAAGGGCGGACTCCGCTCCTGTTTCGGTGACGTGCCATGCATTACACGTCCCACCCGGCTAGGCAAACCCCCAGACTTCCTCCGCCAGCAACCAACAGCAGCAACCCACCTTGCGGTAGAAGATAAGGCCAGCGCGGGGCCCGCGAAGAGACTTGTGCGTGGTGGTGGTGACGACGTCGCAGTGGTCGAAGGGGCTGGCCGCCTCCTTCGTAACCACAAGCCCAGAGATGTGGGCCATGTCGCTGCAAAAATGACGGGTGGGCGATGGCGTGAGACGACGAAACACGCACTGTTGTAAGAAAAACCAAGAACACGACTCCTTGTTGGAATAGCTATCGGGAGAAATTAGATTATGGGATTCAACACGGCCATTTGTTGCAATTTTCTAACGTCGATCAACCACACCAAGGTTACAAGCTGTGGAACACCGTCCACAGAGGATACTCAAGAGGTTGCAAGGCTAGAGGCTACATTCATCTACCACGACACCGACTCAGGCTGCAAACCTCGCCGCGGCAGGTCCGACATGGTCACCGCGTAACTTCGGCCATTGAAAGGGTGGTGTTTCTTGGACACCCAGTCAAACACCATAAATAAGGCACCCGGGTACATCTCAACGGGTCGCAACCGAAATGCTACCCCACAGCTCGCTCTCTTTTCACGACCACGAGGAGGAAAATAAATACAATCAGAATCCTACTCACGCCAAAACCCACTCAAGTCGTCCAGCTCTTCCCATCTATCCGTGTTTCCGTCTCTCACCACAGCAGGAGAGCCCCGTTGGCGTCGGCAATCTCCCTGAACTTGGCGTAGTCCCACTCGCGGGGGTACGCCGACCCGCCGCAGATCACCATGGCGGGCTTGAACAGGCCGGCCAGGCGGGCCAGATCGTCGTGGTCGATCAGACCCGTGTCCGGGTGAACGCTGGAGACAAACATCAACATCGGTAAAAAAAAAAACACGCGCGCGGAGCGGGGCGACATTTTCCATCAAACGCAACGTCGGGGTCCCTGCGTAATGAAGTCATGGACGGGACTGCTGTCTTGCCCAAAACGCACGCAGCTACCGTACACCTTAACCGCTGCCTCTCCTTACTTGCGGCGGTGTCCGCTGCCGTCAAGGTAAAGAGTAAACGACTCAACAAGGGTGGGTGGCCCACGCAGCGAATTCCCGCAATACACAAAACAAACACGCCGGATTCTCGACTCTCGGGGCAAAGAAGACCCCACAACAGGACCCTCCTCCCGCGCCCCTCTACACCCAATCAACCCTACACACAGCCAAAACATGACAAGATAATAAAAACTGAACAACGAAACGCCTCTCACCGGTAGGGCAACGACTCGAAGTACACCGAGGTCGCGGACACCGCCTTCCTGGTGCCCTCCTTCTTGGAGTACGTGTAGAACCCGTGAGTCAGGTGTCCGCCCGAGGGCAGGTCGAGCCCCATGATGCGGTCGTGCGGCCTCAGCAGGGCGGTGTACACGGCAAAGTTCGCCGGAGAGCCGCTGTTGTTGGTTTAACCATCGTTTTTTTTTGTCAGAGCGAACCCGTGCACACGAGCACGCGCGGAAATTAATGAGGACGAGATTCAAAGGTAGCACGAAAAAAACAAAACACCGCCAGCACGTACGTCGGATGAATACGATTTGTGTTCGTTGCGGCCACATACAATATCGATGTAGAGACCTTCAGGTAGCGAGACGATGCCCTGACTGACGTAGGCATAGGCAGGATTTCCAAGCGAGGGGGATGAAGGGCATACTTCTCTTGTTAGAAGTAGTGCTGCCAAATCTATTTACCCTCGGTTCTTGACTGCGCATGAAAACCATGCGGTGTTGCCTACGTTTGTGGGATGGATGATGCGCGTGCTGGCATCGGCCTGGGCAAATTCATTCGGGCAACAACACATGCGTTGCTAACTTATACTGATCCGCCAAGGACCCACATAAAAACTCCGGCTCGCCGAGGGTGTATCAAACATGTCTCGAGCCGAGCGCCACGAGAGGGAGAAAACGTCGTCGAAAAGCACACGACAATAAATAACTCCCCCTACATCCCTGAGGCTCCTGCTTGAGACCACCAAGCACGAGGTAGGCACGAACAAGGTAATGGGACCGATTGAAAATCTTCAAGAAACGGGAAAACCAGACACCATCGAGCGACAGACGCAAGCACCCACCCCCCCAAAAAAAAAAAACGCATGTTGTACTGCTGTACCTGTAGGGCTGCACGTTGACCCCCCACTTCTCCGGGTCCAAGCCGTAGGCCTCGAGAGCGCGCGACTGGCATAGGCTCTCGATCTGGTCCACGACCTGGTTACCGCCGTAGTACCGTGCCCCCGGGAGTCCCTCCGCGTACTGCCACATCACATCGGTCAACACGAAAAAAAAAAAAAAGGATGGGTGATATCTCCTCCCCACGCTGAACAGCTCGGAAGCGAAGAGACAGGGCGGACTGCCGACCACTGCCACTGCTCGCATGTCGCATTCACACATGCGACGAGTGCCGACGAGGGAGTTGTATTTCTCCAACAAGCACAAGCGGAAGATGGAGGGGAAGAGTGTGATCGTCGCTGGGGTACTTGGGGGCAGTGGTGTTGACTTCACTAGGCGTTGAAACCGAAAGCACTAATGAAGCAGACTTGATGGCAACATCGGCTGTTGGTGCGGAGTTCCATCTACCTGAGAATGCGCCGCGGGTGCTTCAATCATTGCGACAGCGAATCGTATTTGCCCAACCTTCGAAGACTATTTCACATCACTTTCTACCAGACAAGAATGCTGGTAAAGAAATGGCACCGATTGGTCGGTTCACCCGTGGTTCTACCTACGCAGATTGAACACGATCGTCTCAAAAACCTGAACGTACTTCACAACTGCAACCATGAGCTTCACCGTGCACCGTCCACCAGAAAAAAGATACGCATGACTTGTCCATGCATTGAATTGCACATACGCCCCGCACCTTGTTGGTGAGAGCCGAGCCCAGGCAGTCCATCACAGCCCTGGACGTGAAGTTCTCGCTGGCGATCAGCTCCAAGCTGGACCATTGGCGGGTCTGGAACGCACGGCAACGACATGTCAATATCTGAAAGCTCATGTATCGGCGTGGCTTGCCAAACTTCAACACAATCAACCCCTTGGTTGCATGCAGCCTGATCGACTGAGTTGCTTCGCTCTTGTGCGCAGCGTTGCATCCAAAACTGTTGCTTCTATTTAGAGAGGACTGCTGTGGTGGTCAGGACGCTATGGGATCCGTCGCATCACGGTAGCAAGCCTTTTGTACAGGCCCATGCTTTCTACGCCACGTTTTTTTAGCTTGCACGTAGTAGATGAATGGTTCTCCCCGGCACAAATGACCCGCACTCATGTGCGTTTTAAGATCGAACACGTACTGCATTCGCTACCCTAGTGATCTCCCTGCCTATCTCCACGGGGAATTCAGAGTAAACAAGTATCATCAGGTTTACACCATAGATATGGATCGGATGAACGTGATATCAGCCGCCGGAGGTTATCCGGAGGCGTCGGCTGTAGTGGCACGAGGTGCAGGTCAGTTAAATCAGCCACGGAATGAGTTGAGGTTCTTTACGTGTCGAATATATTGTATTGGTCTACTGGATGTTTCGCTGGAAAATCATGTGTTGCAGAAGTACACAGCAGGGCTGGCGTTGACAACCAAACTAGCGTAGATCCCCGAAAAAACGAGGGTGTCCAAGAGTACACAAGGGAGAGGGAGAGGGAGAGAGAGAGAGAGAGAGAGCGAGCGAGAGAGAGAGAGAGAAAAACGAGGGTGTCCAAGAGTACACAAGGGAGAGGGAGAGGGAGAGAGAGAGAGAGAGAGAGCGAGCGAGAGAGAGAGAGAGAAAAACGAGGGTGTCCAAGAGTACACAAGGGAGAGGGAGAGGGAGAGAGAGAGAGAGAGCGAGAGCGAGAGCGAGAGCGAGAGCGAGAGCGAGAGAGAGAGAGAGAGAGAGAGAGAGAGAGAGAGAGAGAGAGAGAGAAATACGACACCCCGTCAACATTACCCAGCACCCTTTTATGGTGATCACCAACTAGTGATCCGCCAATCCAATCACTCTTGAGCGCGTGAGCAACTTCACTACATCGGCAAGTTTCGCTGCGTGCTCAAACGTTGCCATTATTGACTGCCAATTTTGGGGAGTGTCGCTGCCTACATAGGCAAAACCCTCATAACTCAACTCCAACAGGCGTACAATGTAGCATCATCAGCAGCAAGACGGATCCATGATGTCGGTGAGATTTGTTTAGCACTCAGGAGGAGATCGGCACGTTGCAAAAAACGAACATATGCACTGCCACATGCAACTAGCTACCCGCAAAGAGCTCTAAACGAACACGACTCTACCCGACTTGGGGGCCTTGTTTCAAATTATCTCGCGGCCTCCTCCTTGGATCTCTGGTGTGCACACGCCCGATCACAGCAGCCAAGCGAACCGGGGAATGTGCCGACGCGCGCCATCAACCAATCAGCACCGAGCATGGCCCACGAATAATTCAAAACCCTTTGGCAGCAAAAACAGCAAAACTCTAAATGCCACGCCGGGGAGAAGGATCTCTTCACCGCAGAAGGTATGAAAACATCGACCCGTGCAAGCCGGACAAATTCCAAGCTGCTGTGTGCGGCGGGCAGATACAATGATCGGTTTATGATCCTTAGGCAGGTGTTTGTGGGAGCTGGTTTGTGGTGGTTCGCTACCCGAGGTGACTCTGTCTCGGATGTCGTATAAGAAATGGACCAACCAGCAGCATCTGTGCATGCGTGTTCAACTCTGACTAAAGCTGTGCAAACACGACCGGGTGTTGATGACGGATAAAAGCACGCACCTCCACCGGTACTGTCCCCCTTTCCTCCCGTCTTGCTGGTACCATCGATGGCAACCTAAACCCACAAACAAGTCTAAGGCCAGAGTTGCACACAAGCGACTCAAGGACCTGCTCAACGCCGCAAGCTGCTGCCTTTGTTGGCATACCTTCTCCTTCTCGATGAGGTCGAACATAGCCGGATCATGGTCGGCCAAGGACATGTTCCCGGGAAGAGTCGAGGGTACTTCCGTCGTCGACATCTTTTTTGTTCGTTGAGCCTGCGACGGCGAGTAGAGAGGGTCGAGACACCGGAGAGCAACACGAGAGAGTGGAGAGCTGGCGCAGGCCAGGCTGGCGCAGAAACACCCGAGGACCTGCAACCTCCCCTAGCTATAAAAATGCCATCTTTTTTCATCTGCGGGGCCACCAGAACGAAACTGCATTCCAGCTTCTGTGGAACACCCTGGGGGTGCGGGGAAATACGGGAATGTCAGTATCAGCCAACAGAGGTTGACCATGATGCTGACGTGCATGCATGGCACTTCTCTGCAGCAGGCAGGTGAACAGGCTGCGAAGGGGTACGCACGTATTAATATGCACAACTCTTTGTTCCCGGGAATCTCTCTCGCTCACGGGCGGGCAGCACAAACACACACACACACTCACACGCCGCGCAAGGAATAAGCGAAGCACGACAGGGGTGGAGAGGCGTTGACAGCAGTTCTTCAAAGTCGCACCGGGCTACCGAGCGGATGGACTCTAAGGTGAACACCTGTGGTTCTTAAACAAACTGGTGTTCGGTTCGTTGAAATGTCAATGTCCCGGTCAAGACACACCGCAGCAGCGTTGGTGAATAGAGGTATTACACAACCTTCGCCGTAGCTTTGCCAGATGTGGGCTTGACCCAAGCACATGGTCACGGGTCAAGGGTCCCAGGGCATCTTGTGTGTTGCTCCAGGTCACACGTAGACTAGACGTATTGAACCGCTACTGCTGTTCGACCTGCACGTTACCGAACTTCCACGCTTGGGTCGGATCCAAACTTCCTCATTACACTCTACAGCAGTAGTACCAATATCCTGCTGCCATGCCTTCCGCACTTCGTGTTAACGGCAGCAGAGCTCGGTGGTGGCCGCGGATCAAAACGCAGAAGAACACCAGCTGTTCGACCCAGTCATGACCTCCGGACAACTTGTTTCGAAGGACAAGAAAGTGAACTTGGCCGACGAGGCTCTGTACCGCCACTACCCACCGGTGAACCCCAGCAGCAGCGGCGGTGCCAGCGGGGGCGAAAGCATCCTCGACGCCGCGAACGCCTACACCTTCGAGACTCTCAACCGCAAGCTCGCCAGCACGTGGTGCTCCCCATCCCTCCCCTCCTCTTCCGTGGTAGCCTCGTGCTGCCCTCCCCAAGACCCCACGACCAACAACAAGAACGACGCAATGAAGTGCCTCACCGACAATTCAGGCAACGCCGCCGGCGGCAACACCACCACCACCACCACCACCCGCTCGCCTACACCGGCTGCGGGGGGGATACCACCGACGTCTCGGCTCCGCGGCGGCGGCGGTGACGCCGAATGCGGACCGGGAGCGGCCCCGACCTCGCAGCTGCTCTTCCTCGTTCGCCACGGGGAGACGGACATGAACAAGGCCGGGAGGCTGCAGGGGCGCGGCGTGAACGCGCCCCTCAACCGCGCCGGCCTGGATCAAGCGCAGGGCCTGGGGCGGTTTGTCCGAAACGTTCCGTTCGACACGGTCACCTCCAGCTCGCTGCTCCGGGCACACGAGGTGTAGTAGATGTGCCGATGGGTGCCGTTTTTCGTGGTCGATTTCGGGTGGCGGGAGTGGTGATACAGAAAGTGGGTTCGCAAGCCCCCCCCTCCCCTCACAGCCGTAGATGGCAGGTACCAATGCAGCCTAGAGAACGCGCGAGACAGTTTTTACGTTGATGTAGCCCATTTTTTTTCAAGATTTTAATAATTAATTCTGTAGTCCTCACCCGCGAGTTGTAGCGCCATCCCTTCCTCATTTTTCGTTTGCTTGTGGAGGATAGATGTGAGGATACGGCAGCGGTGCTCTATACTTTTGCCGGGTACGGTGCAACTGTGCCAGCGCGGGTTTTATTCGCGGAGGCACAAATACCGACGGCGGCGCTTGGGCCACACTCAGAGCACTTGAAAGGAAAGAGGGGACGACGCTACCTAGCGGTATCAAGACTTCGGGAAATAATGAAAAACAATTTGGTCACGTCGTATCGTGCAACGCATGCCCATGTGTAGCATTTTGTCAGCCTTGTTGACTACGAAAGCTCAGCACTTGGTCATGCTGCCCTGGGGAACGAGTGAGTCGGAGTCGGGGGACCAGGTTTTGGTTTCCGCCGCTATTTGTTCTTACGAGGGCCGGGGATACCTAGCTGTTACAGTCGTCGTTTGCCTCCTGTGTCTTTCTCCGTGCGGTATGCGTCTCGACAACATGGCTACGCACGGACGTTGTGGAAGCGGCAGCAGTTAACTGATATCTACGTGCTTTGAAACAGTTGTTAGCGATAGTGTCGGTGTCATGTTTATTTGGTCTGCTGAAGTCGCAGCTGCTTGATTAGGGGCTGACAGATCTATGTCCTACATTTGATTGTTATGGTTTCCCCACCTCGCCCCTTCCCCTCCTCTCTATTCCTGCCTCATACTCCCTCTCTCTCTCCCTCTCTTTCACCTCATGAAACCATAGAGTATGAACGGTTTGTCTCAGAGGTGTACAAGATTGGCAAATATTAGTCCCATGTGGAAGGTTTCCGCAGGCGGTGCCGGTCTTGACTCGTCGCCTCGTTGTCGAAACATCTTCTACCTGGATGCTCACGAACCCGGGATGCCCTGTTGGTGGCTTTCGTCATGACTTCCAACGATCAAGAGAACTACGTGAACCTGGTTCTACCTCCAATGGCAATCCGCACACATCATGTGATAACTTCTTTGTGATAACAAAAAAAAAACTTCCCCCTCCGACGGCATTATGCTTGTGGTTCGGCAGACGGCGATGCGAATCGTGGAGAACAACGAGATGTGCCTGAAACTGGCGCAGGAGAATGGCCCTTTTCCTCCTGTTCCCCCAGCGACATCGACGAAGGAGCAAGAGGGAGAGAAGACCACGCCCGCCGACTCCTGCTGCGACGACAAGGCGCAGGTATTCACTGTAGGTGCCGTAGATGTCTTCACCGGAGATGCCGTAGATGTCTCGCTCGACGGTGGTTGAAGACAGGTTTCCTTGGCTCCTTACCTTGCGCTCGCCTGCACGTGGTTGGAAGAGTCCAGTGTGTGGAAGCATAGTTGCTGTTGACTTTTGGTGCTGGAAGACTTGAGAATCGCGTCCTCGCAGTGGGGAGGCGATGATGACTCCGGCGACGCGCGTAGTAATCTGGCGTGAGATGTTTCCAGTGTTGTGGTTTCAACCACAACCGATTTTGTCTGGTGTTGAGACTAACCCGAAGTGCGGTCTGAATGAAGCGAGCGATGAGTGTGCGGGCAGCCGCCGCGTATCGACAGACCCCTGCGACACTCGCTGGCGCGCCTGACAGCTTCAGCCTCACCGAAGACATGGCAAATAGGTATATCTACGGCTACGCACGATCACCTCCGTCTCCTTTCATTGGCAGCGTCAACATTCCGGGAGTCCCGCGTGCAGATTAATTGCTCGAACAGGTTGTCCCCAAGGAGCGGCAATCCCGTGTTGTGCTCAAACCAAACCCCGGAATCGAGGAATCTAGAGGCCATCGGATCAACATGAGTCATTCTACATGCACTGCTGGCAGTTTTTACGCCCTCCTCTATTCTCAGATACAAACTGGGCAACGTAGCGGACGAAGACACGACGGGACAACTTATAACAAAAGTTATGCCTGCAATCAGGGAGAGGAACCCTTCTGTGTGACCACGGGTTGGAGTACACGGCAACAGTGCTGCGAGCGCCGATTTGAAGTGAAAGAACAAAAAAAATACAGGAAGACCACCCGTTCGGGAGAAAACCACAGTCGAAGGGGATGTTTCATTCACGTCGGTATTAATTTCACAGGTGCGCGTGCAAAGGTTGGAGGGCCTTGATGAACTTTCTTGGGGCGAGCTCGAGGGGAAGGACTCCAAGCTGGAGCCGTTCAAAGGACGTCTCGCTGCGCTGAAGAAAGCCTGGGACGAAGGCGTGTTTGATCGGTGGGTGGTGTCCGCCTTGCCTGCCACTTGCAACCAGCGGGCGCTCTTGATCAGACTCCGGTTTAGGTACCCATCCCCGATTTGCTTGTAGACCAATTCTCTTTTATTCTTGAACAACGTCTCGACCGGCGTACTATGCTGTGAACAGTAGCAAAGAGTGATATTGAAGCTTCTCCTGTACAGGACAAAACCGGCGCAGTTTGTCCCATCCACTTGATGCTTACCCGCGCGACGATTCTTAACATGATTTTCGCCTCCGTGTGTGCACAGAGCCGCCGAGGGCGGGGAGAACTTGGTTGAGGTGCAGACTCGAGCCAGAGCGGCCGTGGAGGCCATTCTGGACAGGGGGAAGGAGCTGAACCTCGCCGTTAGCCACGGCAGGTGACAACATCGCGATCGGCGTCGAGACAACTTTGTTTTTTGGGCTTTATGATGGTTCGGTTTGGTTGATATTTTCTCCTGGTGCGTCATCGCCGTACGAGCGCCAACCAAGCTTCAGCAAGTGCTCCATCGCAATCCCTCGAGTGTTGAATCTTGTATTTCTGTGTGAATGTTTTGTTTGCCAGGCATCAGGGACGGAGCGATTATGCCTGTCCCGTTGCGCATCTCATATCCCGTGGCCGTGTGTCGTTTACCCGTACCGTGCGCACACTACGTAGGACGCTGCGGATCCTGATGCTATCCCTCACGGGCCTCGGCATGGACCAGATGACCAACATGGGAAAGATCCCCAACTGCGGGACGTACATCCTGGAAGTCCGGCGATCAGGCCTGGCTGGGGCTCGATCCTACCGCCTCCTCCCTTCCCGTCCTTCATGACTGGCTCTGGTCCCTTGTTGACCTTGGCTGCTCTCGCCGTGGCCCCTTTGGGCATTGTCGACATTTCAGTGCTATTTTACCTCGGACTCTGTTTCTAGAAGAGTGATGTTGTTGTGTTCTTTGTAAAGAAAATAAACGAAAAATATCAGAGCGAGTGCCGCCGGAGTGACGGTGTTTATGATTTCTTGACATGGTTGATATTGATACATACCTTGATCAATTTTTGAGGTTTGGTATTGGTATGTTAACACGCACCTGGTTGTTCGCTTTTTTGTTACGACAGGGCGAGCGTTCTCCCTGCGACTTCAGCTGAGTAAAATATCTATTGTACGCGTTAAGATCATCACCCCTGTTGTGTAAACGGTCAATGGTTGTAGATACATGGTCTATGGTCGTGAAGATTGGTTTTGTGTTTTGTGTTTTCTCTGTGCTCATGTTTGTGATCTATCTCGTTGGACATGGACGGCGCTAATCTTTGCGTGGTGTCGGCTACGAGGTTGTCAACCTTCCCACAGCGTTTCTTCGATCTCCGTAGATACCTGCTGGGTGTTTGCGTCGACGCGGAGTCGCGCAGGGGTTGCAGACACAGAAGACGTATGTTAGCCGAGCACCACCATATTAGGGCCGTCGGTAGCGCAAAAGATGAAGACGCATCAAAGGAGTCGCCTGCTGTTGTACACCAGTTTAAGTCTAACGCACCAGACTATGTTAGCTTCTGTAATGGGGTATTTTGTCTCACAGTAGTAGCGCGGCGGGTAGTTGGGTCTAAGGTGTCTGTGGCGCGTCGCTCTCCGCCGCCGTTTTCGTTCTTCTCACGGAAAAACCGCTTATCAGGACAGGGCGGATAGACAGCGTTCGGCGTTCACACAGCACCTTCGTGCGCAGGAGTGCAGGGTGGCCGCGTGCTGTGCCGATGTGCTCGGTCGTACAAGCACCATTTTATAGTGCCGCCAGTATGAGGAGATCATGGTTGCGCATACGTGGGCAGGTGTGTTGCAGTACAAGAGTGTTCGTCTTTGTGGCTGGCTAAACTTGTATTTTAGTGTGCAGTGCCGTGAGTCTAGCTGGGTCGCTCCCCGCCGCCCTTATTTCATTCTCGTCCTGTGGAAGAAGAACGCACCACAGTGATACGGACAACGGATAACAGCCGTGGAGCACAATCCGCAGTGCTCACGGACATCGAACAGGCGGGTCGTGAGCTTTTGTATGTGCTGCGTTACCAACGTCGTCAAATTGTATTCAGGGTTTGATATGCTGAGGGCTGGACACCGCACAAGTTCTTCACTACTTCCATCGAAAACGCACCGATGCATACCTGGTACCGGCTTGGTTGCTTCTTCTGCATCATCCCTTTGTGAAGGAAATGATGCAGCGGCGTGCAGGCCAAATCGTTGCACGTTAGCGACGGGGTTTGAAGGAATCCCTACACGCTTGGTTCTATCGGCGTGTGTGTCCATGACTCGCAGTGCAGATCTGGCACACACCAGAGCGCACCGAGCTTGAAAATCATTTCGCGGCTCGAGCGTAGGTCTCCCAAAGACGACGTATGTAGGCAAACCAAGACAATATTCACAAGCAACAACATCTAGTCTACAAAAAAAAAAAAAAACGCAAGATCTCCGGAGTGCACCATGTACGCACGAAGCAAGTTTCTTGTACGCCTCCAGGGACATCACGGCCAAGATGGAGAACCTATTCTCCCGAAATCCATGACAGTTTGTTCTGGTAGTCTCAAGTTCCACGACGTGACGGAGAAACAACGAAAATAAATGTTCCAGGTCAACGGAACAAGGACACAAGGACAACAACCTCGCTCCGCTCGGGACTTCTGCAGGTTTCACGTGACGCCGTGCTGCATCACCTGCCCAACCCCCGTTTCCAGGGGACTCATGCTTCGCGCATGCCAAACACGGTCGCCGACGAACTGCAGCAGTAACTGTATCGGTGGTCCATACACTGTAGCCCGACTTACTCCTTGTCTATTCCCGAACACATCCCCGACAAACTACACTCACTGCTGTATCGGTCCAGCTAGCCCGACTCACTCCTAGTCCATCTTCGTAGAGCCCGACTCACTCCGTATTAAATTCGTAGGAGTACATGTAAGTTGCTTTACGAAGCTAACAAGTAGCTGTGGACATGACACGCCAACGCCGCTGGGAAAACTTCGGTAATCCCGGCTCAGGACGGGCTGAACAGTGTAACCGAAAGGGGATTTTTCCTACACCCGCAAGCGGACACCCGTCAATACGGGTAAAAACTTCCCATTTCTTCCCTAGATGCAAAAAAATCAAGACGGCGGGTGCCGCAAATCACATACGAAAGTCAACAAATGCCGCAGGCTCGGCTTTTTCTTCCTCTGTGGGGATAATTTTAACCCAACAACGGCTATGTTAGTTTTCAGTGTGGGATTCGCAACTAGCGATGAGTCACTTACTCTGAGCTTCATTGATACTTAGGTCAACCACAGTCTTGTTGACTCTCACGTTCTTTGGTGATGGGAACTCGCTCGTCCACGGCCGTTTCTCTCATCCGTAGCAGCAAAATCCACCAATAAAGTGAAAATCTCAAAACCAACCGATCACTCAATGATGGAGTGAGCTACAACGGCGGAAGAACGAGGGCACCATTCTTGGCACCTGGGCGAGAATGGCGATTGTCATCGGGCTTTCACCTACCGGTGGTTTGGTTTTCGCCTTCGGTGGCGAAACTTCCCCTCAACCGCAATTCCCCGAACAACCATCACTACCATCGTCAATATTTCCTCCTTGATAGGGCGCAACGCCCAGGGCTCGTCACGCAGCGTTGTCGCTGCAGCTCGCGTCGACGGCGAATGGGAACAATTAAACACCCTTGCATTCCGCGTGCTTCTTAGACAACCCCCCAAAGAGCAGCACCGTCGTACTTGATGAATGCGGCAGGCCTCGATCGACATGCGACGCGCCTCGATCAGCAAAACAGGGAGTACCAAAGACTAACGTCGTCGCCACTTCGGCGTGCGATCCGTGTAGCCGACGACAACAGGGCAAGAAAAGGTAAAGGTCAACCATCCGCCACGTGCTGCAAAAGGCGCCGGTAGACAAAACAGGGTGCAACCCCACGACACAAACAAGGTACAAAACCCACATAAACACAAAACCACATACCCGTAGCACCACCAGTTTGGCTTTCTTCGCTTCCAGAACAGAAAACCGACGACACCAGCCCCCCTCCCCCCCCGTCCGTCCGAAGCGCTCGCGATATTCGTCAGTCACGCTTCCGGATCGCTTTCTTCCCCTTCCCCGTCGTCCGAGTCGTCCGAATCGTCCTCCCCGAAAACGCTCGACGCCACGACTTCTACCAAGTCGAATTCTTTCTCGAAGAAGGGGAACAGCAGCAGCCTACCGGGTAACAAAATTCAGGAACAGAGGGTAGATAGAACGTGCGTGTGTTGACAGATAGTATTCTATACGAGCCTTTCGTTGAATCAGCACACACTTTGAAACGCACGGAGAAAGCAGTCGACTGTACAGCGCAGCCAACCGCGACCACATGCTTGGCTCAACATTCACCGTAGTAGTCCAAAGAAAACAAAACCTCTGTCGGCGCCAAAAAGCCAAGTGGACACAGCACTCGTGGCTCGTGAACACACCGCGCTCTTACTATCATTCGGATGCGATTCGAGGGGTGGCTGGGGCCGGGGCAACGCCGAGCCGGACGTCCAAAGAAACATGTTCCACTGCTGTTGCGAAAAGAGTGAGCCGTCCTTTACAGACAGGGGGGGAGGTTACACCCTCTCCGAAGGGGAATCTCGACAGCACACAAGAGCAATTTATCGGCTGAAAAAAGCCAACCGGCGTCCGTCAAGCCATATCGTGCATCTCACCACCAGACGAGATCCGACTGGGTCATGCTCCCAATCCCCTTCCCAGGCTCGCCATCTGCAGTGTCCGACTCCTTCTCGGGGCCCTTTGCTGATGCCGACGGTCGCGCGCCTGAGTCCTTCATTCGGACGTCCCCACCGTCATCGGAAGAGGAGTCGGAGTGCGAGTCCGACGTAGGGGGGTCTTCGGTGTGGAGGCCTAGCGCCCTTCCAAGAGCCGCCAACGCCGGTCCGTTCACGTCGCAGTCGAACACGTCCTCTTGGTCGTTGCACACGCTTCCTGGAAAAGAAAAGAAAAGGACACAACTGCCAATCTTCACAGCCGCGTTGCTTCCGTTCCAAACCAAAAAAAGGCCGTGGGTCGACGCGAAACACCGAAGGGTGTCACCACAGAGAACATCGAGACAGGCATAGTCAACACACACAAGTTAGCAACCTGCCAAGCATGTGCCAGTTTGGCGGCCTGGCTCGTGTTGGACCGTGCCGTGCCTGATGCTCGTGACCTAGAGCTGCGGGAAAGAGCTTGCCAGTCTCACCTCCGTCCTCGTCCTCGTCCTCCTCGTCGTTTTCGTTGTCGTCGACGTCGTCGTCTCTCTCCTTGGGTTTGGGGGGCGGCATCACGCAAGCAGGGCCGTCTCCTCTCGCGTACACCAACGCCTGCAGCAGAGTTGCCGGCGCGTCGTACCCGATCCCCCCGCTGATGGAGTACGACACCAGCGTCCGGGGCTCGTAATCCAGCCCCTGGTGCTCCGCCAAAACGCAAAGAAAGTCGGCACACACGGGATAAGGGATGTGTCACGGCGTCAAACCTGGCCGACAGAGGGTCGGACTTGCGGAGGAATACCGATTGATGTAGATTTTCGGGGAGGGAGGAGGGACGGTGTCGATATAGGAGCGACACAAAAATATTGGCCCCGAGGTGACGATTGGTGTCCAAGCCGAGGTGGCTTGTTTATCGAGAAAGAAACACGAGGGAAAGGGGGCGGGTTCCGAATTTAACTGCGAGACGAGGAAAGGAGGGGGGGGCACATGCATGTGCGAGGCGGGGAGGCAGCAGAAAACCGCGACGCCGACCCGCCCGGCTTCGGTCACCTTCCGCCTGGAGTGCCGGTATTCTCTTTCCACGCGGAGGAATGAGGAGGGGCAAGCGGCGAGTTTCGCCCGGAAAAAAACACGGCTGCGACAAGGGAAGGCGGCCTAACATCAGAAGGACAGGGGAAAACAAGTAGGACGGGACGGCAACAACGCCTCACCTCGTCATCCTCTTCGCACTGCTTCGCGTCCCCGTCCACCCCCTGCTTCCCTCCCTCCTCGTCATCGGCACCCTCCTCGTCATCGGCACCCTCCTCGTCATCGGCACCCTCCTCCTCCTCCTCCTCCTCCTCCTTTTCCTCCTCGCCGCCTTTGGGTCGCTTCCTACCCTTGTCGTTGCCGCCGCGGCCCTCCTCGCTCCCCCGGCCCCTGGACCCGGCCCTCTTACGCCCCTCCTTACCGTGGCTATCGCCGCCGCCGCCGTCATCGCAGGAGATGTCTCTGCTGGCGGCGATTTTGTTGGGGACGGCCGTCGCCGAGCCCTTCTTCTCGAACAAAGAACCCCCTTCGTTGTCGCCCTTCGGGGTCGTCGATATCACCGACGAAGGTTCTTCTTCTCCGTCGTCGTCATCGTCGAGCGCCAGGTCGATCACCTCCCGCGCCTTTTGGTGGTCGTTGTCGTGGACGTCGCCACCAAGCGCCACGCGTTTGCCCCTCCCGTCCCAGGATTCAGCGGGGCCCCTCCCCAGGGGCTCTCTCCGGAAGCGGAATGTGAGGAACACGGGTGATCCTGCATCATCGTCATCGTCGTCGTCATCGTCCTCGTCCGAAGAGGTTCCTTCATCTTCTGCTGCGCCTATTGTCGCTTTCTCTCCCGCCGCAGCGACCGCTCGTGCTGCCGCGGCCACCGTTCTCTCCGACAGCGTCGGCTTGCCTCGTGTTGCAGCAGAAGACGTGACGGTAGGGCCATTGGTGCCCGCGCTGGCCGCGGCAGTAGCGGTTGAATCTGTGCCGGTTCGCGAGAACTCCACCTCGGCGTCTATCGTCGTGAAACCGTTTAAAGCAGCTACCTGGGAATGTGAAACAAGATTGAACGAGTCAGGCACCTTCTCCACCTTAATACTCGACTGGTCGGACCATAGAACATGCGTATTGCTATGGTGGGCGAGGGGGAAGCGGGTGGCACCTATCCAAACTTGAGGGTCATCAAAACAGGAGATGGACACAAACCACTGGGACCGGTTCCACTTGATAGCCTGACCTTTCATCCTTTTTTGTCGTACATTGAACGTCATATCCCGGCCCCCCACCCCTCATCATTTCCCAGGCCACACCAGGACAAAGATGACGAAAACACTGGCAGAGAACAGAACGATCGCCTAGTAAAAACAGAGGCGCAAAAACGGTCTCGCTTACAAGTGCTTAGCTTTTCAAGCCCTCTTGTCTACCACAGCATCTCGCACTCCTCGTACGCCGTGCCCATCGCCGCGGCACACAACCCACGGCGATACGTCGTTACCTCCGGAGAGTAGCACCCTCGCTGTTGCAGCGCAGGAAACTACTGTATAGTGCAACATCGAAGCCCACTCGTCTGACAGGCACATTGGCGCCAAAAGAACATCACGTGCACAGATACGTATGCTTGAAAAAATGCATCGTCAGTCGAGGATGGGCCGAAATACGGCACCCAGCAGGAGGGAGCGGCCTCATTTCTTCCATGTCTGCAATACCATTCTCGTTGCCACAACGGCCACCTTGTCCAGGCGGTTTATCTTCATGCCCTCGAGCATGCGGAGGACGTTGTCCGGCAGATCATCGGTGGAGGGAACCTTCCTCGCCCCGTCGCCGCCGCCGCCGTTCTCCGCTCCGTCCTCGTCGCGGCCGTACGAGAAGAGTCCAAACGGGTCTTCCTCGTGAAGAGACCTGCATCATCACCATCGTCACGATCGTCACGATTCATTTTCATGATCATCATGGTCGTCGTCATCCTCTTTATCATCATCATCACTATTATCGTCAGCAGCATCATCATCATCATCATCATCATCATCATTAGCATCGTCGTTTGCGTCTGCCTCCGCACGTTTAAAAAACACAGGCTTGGCTACCCGATCGAAATCTGTGTCGGTCTGACACCCTCATGAGTGGGCTGAAGGAGCCAGCACTTGGCAAGGATTTAGTCTACATGTAACTGCTGCGGTAGCCTGGGACCCAGGGGACACTGAATTTGCTAGACTCCTTTGATTTGCCCTCCTTATGGAGCTCAAACAAGAACAGCGGGTTTTCCTATGGAAACGAGCCATCGAGGGTTCGCTACTGCTGTAGGATCAGTTGTGTTGAAAGACTACAAAATAGTGCTTCGAATTTTGGACGTTTCGATATTTCCGCAGGAAGGACAACAGAGATGACCTTGTCCGGATGTGATGTCCAATTTCAACTGCTGTATCGTGCCGGCAAGAACGCTGTGAGACCTTGCGTGAGCGTGAGTTTGCGGGGGGTTGTTTTTATTCCTGCTATGGCTGCCGCTCTCCCGCCGCCATGCCAGCCCTGCTCTGCGTCGTTGCGTGGTTCGGCAGTGAGAGGATTGAGGACCACTTTGCACATACAGAACGTGCTGAAGCCTACCGTACGTGACGTAAGATACCATACCCCCTGTATAAGTAGCGGTTTCCGAAGATCAGCTACTCCACGACGGTAGTTTAAAGGAGGGCTCCCGATGAGACGGTTCCAGTGCCCCACGATTTACGGCACCGCTACCCTCCTCTGCTGTGGAGTAATCGAGCCTTGAAGATCAGTCTAGGGTGTGTGTGAGATCGAAATCACCTACGGTTCAGAGGCGTCACAGAGGCGTCAAGCCTGTCTCGAGAAAACGCACAACAACCGTGTTGTGTAACGGTGTGCGAACTGTTTTTTTTTGTACCGTCACATCGAACGGAACCGTGAGCGCGCGGCAATGGGAAAAGAAGGGGAAGAGAGAGCGGGAGAGTGCGACCCGCACGTACAGACAGTTGAATATGGTGCGTGGACTCAGTCGGAACAACCCCGTCTCTGCGTTGCGCTCTGACCGTTGTGGTCCGCAGCTCCGCAAGTCCGGGCTGAACTCCGCTGCTGCTGTTGCCGTAACACGCAGCAGGGGGAGATAAGCAAACCGGCTCGAACACAAATGACCCCCCCAGCCGGCAAATAGGACCATCACGCGCTGCATTGTTCTCTATGAACTACTGACTGTAGACATCTCGTCCCCATGAAGGCAGGGAGGGAGGTCGCACCGAAGCGCGCCATCCATCTTCTGTCACTCATCCCCTTCTCCCCACACACACCTGATTTTCATCTTGGCCGCCAGGAGCCTGGCATCCTCCGACACCCGAGCGAGCAAATCCTCTGGAAAGCACGTGTCGCTGTGCTTCTTCACCAACGCCAGGATGTCATCCTGCAGGGAGGAAGCCCCGGCCATCTTGAGCGAGGGGAGCGTGCTTTGAAGTAAGAGCGGAAGTGGGCGCTGAAGGCAAGCAAACGGCCGCCCTCCGTTTCAAAAATGGTAGTTATTCCGCCGCATACCGTGTAACGGCAAATTGTCAAATTGTTGCGACGCCGTCATCGCCGTCATCGCCGTCATGGCGTCGTGGCGTCATCATCCACGTGTTGCGGGGACGCGCCCACCCAACCCGCGCTCAACATCGTGAGCATAAAGGTCGAGGAAAGGAGCTACTACTCAGTTTGTGTCCTCCTGAATCCTTATGCTCAAGCAGCCAAGCACCTAATTACGCCGCATCTGGAACATTCGGCGACCTATTGTCTCCACACGGACCAAGCGTTGTTGCTACTCAGGTACTACATCGTCTCCATCTCTCTCCAGGTTGTAGCAACCATCGCAAGAGGAAGATGACGATAGGCGGCATCTCATATTACCGTGGGACCTCAACGACGCCAGCAGGGGTTCGACAAGATACTGTTGAAACGTCCATTTTTCCTACAGTCAAACACGTCGATCCGCAGTTGGCTATAGTATTTTGTATGCACCTACAACATGTCCTCATCTCTTTGTGGAATCATTTAGAGCTCTACACATTAACCAGGAGGAGTCGGATACCTGCGGCCTTTCTCCTCTCGCAGCGCATAGGTATAAAGCAGCACGCGTTGAACGACAGCTCCAACTTTTTCAAGCAACGGATCGACTGACGGAAGGGTGAACAGGTTATCCCGATTTAACCGCTTCGAAAACGGTGACCTGCGTGAGCCTATTGCCTGGCTCATGCTGTATGAGAAGAATCGTCGACTCAGGATTATGCGGATACTGAAGACAATCGCCAAAGAAGAGCTATAAGACTGGTGCATGAAAGAGGAGGCATCACTAAAGCTGCCAGTGCTTAAATCTCGCCAGCACCTTCACCGCGCAACAGCGCCACGCTGGAGCATCGTCGCAACCTCCACACCAGTGCCAACCTTTCAGCGTTGGGAGAGAAAGAACGACCGATTGCAGTTGGAAGAGTTCTACGTCGCATCATCAGTGGCTGATTCTGTCGCCAGCCCAAGCAAGGGGATTGCCAACATCTTTGAAGCAGCAAACCAGTCTGGAGGTGGCGTTCCAGGAAGAGTAGAAATGGTGGCTTCAACATCAACCCTCAGCCACCAGCAAGGCAGCACCATTCTATCTTTTGATGGGGAAAACCTTTTCAACAGCATGCGCCGATCTTCTATCCTACCAGCAGTGACCACTCACGCACTTGGTGAAATACTTCGGGAACATCTACGCTCAAACCAAGGCAAAATTTCTGTTCAAAATGGAAGATGGATCGATCAAAGTTGTTCTCTCACAGCGCTGAGCTGAACAAGGCTGGGTTTGGCTGCTGCGTAGGACTCCTGGATATCATGAAAGAGTTCACCAACAAGCCGCCAGTGCCAGGAGTCAAACTCATCGGATACGCCGACGACCTTCAAGCGCATTTCCCACCAGGTTTGGCTAGGAACATGCAGGCCATTGCTACTGCAACGAATTGGACTCAAGGACGTCTCTCCCAAAACGTCATTGAGCTCAGTCTCCCGAAATCTTAAGTGGTTTCCGCAGAAAGCCCTTGCCTGCCTCTTTGACAGACAAAGAACAGCAAGAATTGACGAAAAATGGTCTCTCAGTCGCTGAAGGTGGCATGCCAGTCGTCGGAGTCCCGGTAGGGACAGAAGATGTCCAGAGGAATTTCATATCCAACTTCGCCCGTGGTGACCCTGCGGAGTTGATACTTCGCCTAGCAACGCTTGTCGATCCTCAAACCAGCTATCAGCTGCTGCGGTCATCTGGTATGCCACGTTTGTTCCATCTGCTGAGAATGATTGCACTTTCGATCGTTAACTCTGCTACAAGAAGCCATGACAACATGATGATGTAGGCAACGGGTAAGATCGTCTCGACAAGATGGCCGACAATGTGGGAATACCGACTGCAGAGATGTATGCGCATACCCGACGAAGAGCGAGGTGGATTACTTCAAAGAGACAGCTAGGGCGCAGATAATCCTGCCCATACGTGAAGGGGGACTCGGGATCACAAGCAACGTTTTCATTAAGGAATCAGCCTTTGTAGCATGTCAAGCACTGGTGTTCTTCAAATCAGTGCAAGCATCGACAGGACGCACCATTGAGCAATGTCTGCCCCGACTTGCACAGCTACCAACAGGATTGGCTCTGATTGACTCCCTTGAGATAGAGGAGATCATCACCAAAGACGATGTTGAAAAAGCTGTTGGTCAGTCATGGACTAAACTGGTCACATCTGATGATTTGACTCCCACTCGACAAGGACTTTATCTCATGGAGGCTGGGAAGGTAGTTGAGAGAAACGTGGCCCTGGCGCGGAACCGTTAACACTGTCAACATGCGGCCGAAATGAATTCGGCCCGTACTACCAAGTCTTTCGAGCTCAACCTGTTCTGTCGAAACCTCTTCATGCGGCTGTGCGCCATATGGTGGAGACAGACTTCAAGGTCGGATCACAGGGAAACGTCAAGAAAGAGGGCGTTGGTCCGCTTGGAGGGAGTGAAAGGCAAGGGAGTATTGTCGTGGTTGACAGCAAGGACTGTCGGCAGATGAACGAATGCTGCCTGACTAGTATCGGGAGTCAATCGGTCGTGTGCTGGGGAGTCACGATCGAACTGAATGTGACACAGGCAGGCTTTGCGGTGCAGGTGCATTGTCGCCGTGCAAGGAACGGTTGGGCCGACCCCACTCCCTAGTCTACACGAAGACCGGTGCCTTCCTGCACAACAGGATGATTCGCGTGATGTTGAAGACATTACGCGAATGCCACATGCCAATCGCTGTCGAAGACTCTTTCCCATTTACCACAGGCACTTGTAGGGGAAGGGCTCTACATGATAGATTTGGAAATCCCCCCAGGATTACACGCAGGTGATAAAGGAGAGGAACTCTGCACCAAGTCCATTCTTGTAGATGTAACAATAGTAAACCCATCCGCAGATCGAAGCATCGAAAAGTCGATCCAAAGCCTGGATCCACCCTCGAAATCGAGCTGCAAGTAAGGCAATCACTATGCGGGAACTTTCAACAGTTCTAGATCTACCCTCCTTACTGAGAACGACTTATCGTAGCTATCGCCAACCACGTAGCACATGAAGCTTTATGGAAGGGGAATTTCGACGACGAAACAGCCTTGCTTCGCCTAACGACCTTTCATACCAATAGATTTCGGAGACGGTTTACCTTCGAGTTGGCTCGTCTTCGGTCCGTACGAACTCGTAATGGGTTCGAACGTCATAGACTGCTTTTTGACCAGTTTCCACAAAGGCCACTAGGTTGGGATCTCGGTAGTGGTGCAGATAGAAAGGACCAGGATGGCAATGAGGGGGATCTGTTTGGCAGCGATGAAGGAGGAGGAGAGGGATCGGGAGGAGGAAAAGACAGGGACCAAAACACCAGTGGAGGAGGGAATCATGGCGTGAAAGAGAGCAAGAGCTTCGAGCCAGATGACTTTCCCCACCACAACCGGCGCAGGCCCCAGAGCAGAAATGTCGAAAATTTGATGTCAAAACGAAATTGAGAACGATGGAGTTGAAATCACGGAGGATGATGGTGAAAGCACCCCAAAACGAACTTGAGTGCAAGTAACAGCCTTCGTAGACGTGTGCAGTTCTCTTCTGTTGCTACCGTTTCTATCATTGATCCGGAGAAGAATGGTAGATTAGTCTCCCCCATGCCGCCCCCTGACGGGGTCCCAGCTGATGGCATCTAGAAGTTTTTGGTGTTTTCAACCGCCCCGAGACTGACGTATTTTCATTGGTCAGCCGGTTGGCGCGGCCATCAATGTACTGTAATAAATATACATACACCTGCACAGTACACAGCTACACTCGGAAAATCACGGGCGCCTGCGGAGGACACAATCTAGAACGTTTGTATATGCCCATGTTGTGTGAGCTCCAGAATCCAAAGCGTGTCGTTAACCCCATGTATTGGATCGTAGAGGCGATATCAGAGAGGAAGAGCAGACGAAAGGAGGAGAAAGGGATTCATTGCCAGGTCAATACCCCTCGAAAAGGGGGCCCGCCACTCGTATCCCAAAGTCTCTCCTTGCATGCCCCTCAAAGTCATTATCACCTGCGATATACGAAGCCGCCACAGTATCGGTACAATCCGACCAATCCATGTACCTCTACTCACGAACACACCAACCTGCCATTGTTCCTTTCCCCTGAACAAGAGGCTATGTTTGTACGAGCCACCACACCACCCTCAAATGTCACAAGATACGTAGCGCCTCTAGATTTTCCTCTTCACCCCGAGGTCAAATTTCGCTTGGGCCTTCGCCGATGTTTTCGCTTGCACCGGACACGAGCCCCTTGCGGCAGGAACGTCCTGCACGACCTTTGCAGTCATCGTCATCAGCCACACTTTTGAGGACGAGCTCTTTGAGGCAGGAACCTTCTGGACGAACTGCTGTGTCGAAATTCCCGTTGCCTCACACGATTGTCTCTCAGCGCGTGTCCGCTTTGACAGGGGCAAGCTCTCTGTGGCAGGGGACTCCGATGCACTGTCCGAGCAGGATGTTTCGTCGAGGGTGCCGCTACAGGATGACGCTGCTTTGCCTTTGTCGTCCACAGGAGCGAGGGAGCGTCCAGAGGCTCTTGACGCCGCTGCAGCCGAAGCGGTCGAGGCAGATCTCATTGGCATTCGAAGCAAGATGGACAACATTGTTCTTGAACATTTGGACACTGTGAATCGCTTTTGGCGCTTGGTTCGGATCCCCAAGAGTTTTCCGTTTTGATTCCAGCTGCGGAGGAGTTGTCGCCGAAAGCCCTTCGCAAAAGTGAAGTCAAGCGTAAACAAAAAGAATTTTGACTCTCCAAAGTGGGCCAGTGCAAACGGGTTCGAGCTGCTGTTGTCGACACCTTGACCACGAATCACTCCACTTTGGAATTTCTCGATGCCACATTCTTGCAGTTAGAG